GCCTGCTGTTGTACCAAGGAATGAAAAAATTATAGAGAGATGGGTGGTGCAGTATGAGAGCCGAAAGAGTAGAGATGGTGGTCTAGGCAGCAAAAAATCTAGTGGTAATTTGCATTCGCTATATAAGAAGTCAATTGTGCTTTTGAGATCGTTATATGTAACTATACGACTTTTGCCTGCATACAAACTCTTCAGAGATCTCATTTCATCTGGACAAATTCATACATACACGCTTACACATCGTGTGTCTACCTTTGTTGAGCCCTTCACGAGGAAAGAAGAGAGTGAGATGCAGCGATTTAGTTTTGCCCCAGTTGATACTTCATGTGGTAAACTCTGTCTTTCAGTATCATATCGATCTATACTGTCTGATGTGAGCTCAGAACCATCGACTCCTATGTCTCCACAGTTCATACCAGACTATGTCGGTAGCCCATTAGCAGATCCACTTAAAAGGTTCCCGTCTCTTCCCAGGTCTCATGGCTCCCCATCTTATTCCCCATTTTCAAGACGTCATAGCTGGAGCTATGAAAATTATCAAGCCTCACCATTATTAAATTTACCATCTCCATCTCCCACGTACTCAGATTCTCATGCTTCAGTATCTAAGTGTAAGTCTCGAATTCCCCCACCTTTGAGCTTGCCTCAACGCTTACCTGAAACATTTCAAGCTACTGGCAAAAATACTGGCTACGATGAGTATTGGCCTTCCCCTGTCTTTTCTCCCTCTCCCTCACCTTCTCCACCAATGTACATCGCTAATACTGATGGTTCCAAGGCTCTGTTGCGATGTGAAAGTGCTCCTGTCAGAATTCCTGTGAGTAATGCTTTCAACAGGCAAATCTTGCGTCCTTCTCCTCCCCCTAAGCTTACAAGAGCGACCACTTTAAAGTCAGATAGATCTACTGGTCCAAGTGGTTCATCTGTTGAGAAGGTATTTCTTGAGTCATGGATTTTCTAAGTCCGTGTTTCTTTATAGTTTCAGTTGTAACTTTCTTCCTTGAATGGTGCTTTAATCTTCCTGTTTTGCAGTTTTCTCTGGGCAGAGATGAAAGTGGAAGATATTCTGGGCCTAGGGTATCAACCAACAGCTCTCCAGGCATCTCTTTTTCTAGGAGTTCCAGTAGGCCATCAATTCATGATGATTTTGATGATACTGAGTTTGCTTGCCCGTTTGTTGTGGATGACGATGACATGGGTAGCAGGTAAATTGTTATTATGTTAAATTCATATGTTCATTCAGACACGTTTCATTGGAAAAAATAAGTGTGTAAAAACTTTAAATTGATAAAATGCGAAGCGAGTTTCGCATGCCAGTTCATGGCCTCAAGCCTTGTAGAACATTAGCCTTCCTTTCTGGCTACATTTTCTTTGGCTTTCTTGAGATGGTATCTCGTCAGCAATGGTATGTTCTGCGGACTAGATAGTCTGCTTTTCCATCTCAGGCAACTACACCAGGATACTGTTGGATATCTTTCTGGATTACCTGCTTGATTTGTTTGGGCTACTTGTTCATGTCACTTCATTGGTGCTATTGAAGAGAAATTGGTTTAATCTTTAAAATCGTGACGAAAATAAAGAGTCAAATTACATACGGAGTAATATCTTAGGTTTGTCAATATTTTGGGGAAATTAACACTACTCTTTAATGGATTACCAAGTGGGAAGTAAATTTCTTGATTCACTTAGTAACTAGACCAATTCAAGATGAGGTTCCATGGTGTATGTTGTTCGCAGATGATATCGTTTTGGTGGATGAAACTAAGAATGGGGTTAATGCCAAGTTGGAGCAATGGAGGCAAAGGTTGGAATCTAGAGGGTTTAAGTTATGGATTAAGACTGAGTATTTGGTATGTCGTTTTGGTACTCAGAGGGGGACAAGCAATGAAGTGGTGAGTTTAGATGGAAAGGATTTGACCATTAGTGAATGTTTTAAGTATCTAGGGTCGATCATCCAGAAGAATGGTGACATTGATCAAGACGTGACCCACAAGATTAAGTCGGGGTGGCTTAAATGGAGAGCGGCCACGGGAGCGACCGAAGCATTCCCTTATTGTTGAAGGGAAAATTTTACAGGACTGCCATAAGACCAGAATGTTGGGCTTCTAAGAAGGAGCACATTAAAAAGATGGAGATTACAGAAATGCGTATGTAATGGTGAATGTGTGGGAACACTCTAAGAGATAGAATCAGAAATGAGGTTATTTGCAAGAAAGTAGGTGTGGCAGGCATTGCAGATAAACTAAGGGAAAATCGCCTGCGTTGGTTTGGGCATAAGACGAAAACCCGAGGGTGCACCGGTGCGAAGAGTAGGACCATGGAGGGGTTAAACGAGGGAGAGGGAGACCGAAAATGACTTGGTTGGAAGGAGTTAGGAAGGATATGAAGTGTATGGATGTGCATGAGAATGAAGCATTGGATCGTAAGGGATGGAGGAGGAAGACTTATGTCGATGACTACACGGAATAATCAAATTTGGTTCATGTTAGCCGACCCCACTTATGGGATTAAGGCTTTGATTTTGATTGACTGACTTAGTAGTTGGTGATTGGGTGTAATATTTACAAACCAACTCGTATGAAATTATGAACTTAGAAGTCAGTGCACCAAGATTCATGGCAGGGCTCAGGGTTAGATATATAATTGTTTGCGATTTGTGTTTATGGCGAGACTACTTTGTGTCCGAATCTTGATTTTTAAACATTTGGAGTAAAGTAGTAAACCCTAATGTCCAGCAATAAGTAATACTTGATATAAAAGAATAGGTTAATGAATCAATTGATGTATCATATCTTATCAATACCTTAATCTACTTATCTGAACTCATCTGATTTTTCTGAAGTTGTTGAAACTTAAAAGTTGAGTAGCCCGTCCTTATCTGTATTATTAGTCGTTATTTGAACTTGTTAGCCTATATCTCAACATACTTTGCTAAAATTTGGGAAAAATAAGGTGAGGAGGATAGACATAGTTTTATCTTTTATGTTTCCTAAAGCTCAGGATGGAAAAGGTTTAAAAAATTAAAATAAATAAAAAAATAAATAAAAAAAGAAGAAAAGAAGAAAAAAATAAAAGAATTATCAGCACCAGGCTAGAATCCCTTGTAATAGAAGCTTGTTCATATCCATCAGCTCCACAATTACTCAATAGAGTAGGGTGAGCATGAATAAGGTCAATGTTTGTCTTTACAATGCCATTGTGGTTCTATGCACTATATATCTTCCAGCTTTTTTTGTGCCGTTTTTAGCAATTTGCATCCCTTATCAGGTAACGGAATAAAATTGTGATCTTCTTTGTCATGATCCAAATCTGGGACACTATGTGATGTGTTTGATGGAGTAATTAAGGACATAATGGTGCACTTTCAAGGTATGGGGATTTTGTATCCTGCTGTGAATAGTCAGGGCATCTTATGGGAGCAATGTAAACTACAGTATAATTTTGTAAATAGGAAGTAGGATGTGAAATTGCATCTTCGTTGCATCTTTCTTATGTTGCTGTCTATTTAGTAAGTTTGAAAGAGAATGGATTCAGTAGGATGTGAAATTGCTTAATTGGGGTTGGGCAACCAATTGTGCTTGAAAATAATCTATCTGAAATATGTGAAGGGATTTCTCTCTTTGCTCAATTTTTCATATTTAGCTGACCAGGTTGTAGAATTTTCATGCCTAAAATAGGCTCCTGCTCCTTGCATATGTATCTGTAGGATTTGGACAAAGACTTGTCTTTATAGACCACTTTTGCTTGAAATTATTACATTGTGTCCAAAGAATAAAGAAACAATGATTACCTTTCTACCAACCATCATATTTGTTCTATTTCTTTGTCTGCTTGGAACTCCTTTCGTTTCCTAAATTTATTTTTGCTTAATTTGGCGCATGCTCATTATTTTTCCACACATTCTTTAGGCCTGGGTCCTTCGATCAGAAAGGGAAAACAAATGACCCACTGGAACCAGGAGGATCCGCTCCTGTTAGAAAATCCCAAGATGCTAAAGTGGGTGCCCTGGTATTAATGCTGAAGAAAGCTCCACCTCTTCGACAGGATTCACTGATGGCCTCTAAGGCTGTGAGCTGGCGTGACAATGAAGAACCTGCTCTCAAACCAGATGATCAACAGTCTCAGAAGGGGACTTGCACAAGCATATTGTCGTCAAGCCTTGCCACATCAAGGACAACAGCTGATGCTCTGGAAGAGCTCCGGAGCTATAAGGATTTGAAGGAGTTGTTACTTAGTCAAGGGAAAAGTTCCCGTAAGTTTTGCGATTCTGCTGAAGGAGCTTCAGGGGGGAAATCCTAGTAAATATTGAGCAGTTTCTACCATTATCGGACTTCTTTTCTTGTGAATATTGTCTTGCTCTGGAGTTCTGGCCTTGCGGTTTTCATCTACAAGTACATGTTTGCACCAGCACCTTTTAGATGAAGGGAGTGGTGAACAACTGAGAGGAGGGTAGGGAAGGGGGTTGAAAGAATTACAAAGACTGTCAGAGCCGGGCCTTGTGTTTTTAGTTATGCCTGGTTTCTGTAGAGGTTATATATCTGATTGATGACTTATATTGCTGTGTGTATAAAAGCTTTGATCTTTGTCATTTTTTAAGGTGTATAAAGTTGTGTCAGGGAGAGCTGGAGAGGTTTAAAGACGGGATAACTTGCAATATGAAGAAGCGAGAGGAGATTGTTGTCTTGACTTGTGAACTTTGGCTATTTACCGGAGTTTGTAGTTTGACAATGAGGTGTTCAATCAAATCTTTTTTATCCTGAAAATAATTTACATCATTACATGTATATAATTTTCAATTTGAACCTTCCAATTATGTACAAAAGCTAGAAGTGCAGAATTTGATAGTGTATATTCTACTAATGTATCATTCATGTGCAAGTGAATCAATGTGTTCCAAATGTTACCATCCAACTCAATGTCTTTAATTCAAAGTGTAAAGAAGGCCCTAAAGGATAATTGGTTGACAAGGCTTAATCTCATGTCTCGAATACCAATACCACTCCCATAAACTTAATGTACTAACTAAACGAGTTTACATCCGCTTTAGCAACTCATAGTTAAACACACTCGATCAACTTCATGTGATCAAAAAAGCACGTGACTACATACTAATCAAAATAAAACAACTAATTTAGGTATATGAAATCACCGATAAAAAAAAAATACATACAGCTTTAAGGATTGCATATAAGAAGCTAAAAGTGAAAATAATAAATAGAATAAAAAAAATAATTACACTAATTGACGTATAACATTATCGCATTCTTAAATTACTCTTGACCATTATACTTCATTTCAAATGTAATTTTTAAGTCTCCATTCAAAAAAAAAAAAAAAAAAAAAAAATTTATACTAATTAATTATAATCCCCTCCAAAAAAAAAAAGTCATTTTAATTTTTCAGCCCTTTTTTTTTATAACACAGATAGGACCATTTGATCATCCTTACCCAATTCACAATTTTTTATGGTATCCTCCAAAATTTCATCCAACAATAATAATCTGAACATTACTCTATGCCATTTGAAGACAAAAAAATCGAGAATGAATACTTGTATAACAACCACCAAAAACAAAAAAAGGTTGATTGGAGATTTCATATTGAGAGAGAAAATCAGTGAAACCCCATTTTCAAGTGTTTGGAGAGCTAATCATAGGATAAACCCTGATTTGAAGGATGTAGCTTTGAAGAAGATCACACTTTCCAAGTTAACCCCAAATCTTAAAGCTTGCCTTGATTGTGAGATTAACTTCTTATCTACTGTTAATCACCCTAATATTATCCGTCTTCTGGATTTCTTTCAGGTTTGTCAGTCTGAAATTCTGGTACCAACTTTGTAAATTTTGATTATTTTTTTTCTGGGTTTTTGGTTGTTGTTCATTTGAATTTAATTTTTGTTAGCATTTTTATATTTTCCTTTTCAGTTGAGTGTAATTAATTTGTGGATAATATGCAATTTTTGAGGATTTTATTGGAATATTGTGATTTGTGCTGCTGTTTTTTTTTTTTTTTTTGTTCTGTAATTTTTGTAGAATTATTCAGTTCCGACAATTTGGATGTAATGGGTGATGTGTGTAAGCTTGATGGGTTCTTTATGGGGGTGGGGGGGTTGGGTCAACTTCGTTGTTAGTTTTGGGATAAGGTTGCGTACAAATGAACCTCTTGCGGTATGTTTGCAGTGGTATCACTGTATCAGAGTTGGGGAGGTTCGGTATTGGGTTATTATTGGGATATAATGTTACGGAATTTTTTGCGTACATCTGGACCTCTTGATCTTGGGGGTTATGTTTTGGTTTGATGTATGGAAATTGTGAAAAGTTTTAGAAATTTGGTTTCTCAAAGGATTCTCATCATGCAGATGGTTTATATATCATACACTTAATCTTTTCTTTGTTCAGGCTGAAGGTTGTTTATATATGGTCTTTGAATTTTGTGATGGGGGTAATCTAGCTTCTTATATTTGTCGCCGTGGTGGAGTCCAAGAGCAAATAGCTAGAGACTTTATGTATCAACTAGGTTAGTAGGTTTCATAGTGTGCCCATTTTTTGATACAGAAATTTGTAATTCATGAACTCATGTGAAGATAATAAAATCTCATTTAAAAACAATTGCAGGTGCTGGTTTAAGCATTATGCGAAGCCATCAAATTGTCCATCGAGATTTGAAGCCACAGGTATTGATAGTGTTTATGTGCTGAAGTTACGTGAGGCTGAATATATCATTCATGTTAAAATACATTGAGCATTAGGCTTTTTATGCATGTCGTCAGCACCCTGAATCCCTGTCCCAGTCACCTTAGTATGGTAGTAATGTAGTATCATTATAAGTTTGTAAATTTAAGGTAAATATGATTGGGTTTGCTAGTGTATTTTGGTGAGAAAGCTTGGATCTTCAAAAAGTGATCAGATATGTTAGGACTTAGGAGTGAATATCATAGTTTGATGCCTCATAATAACTGTCAATGGATGAGGTCTTTCTTTCTGGCAACACTCTGAAATTCTGAATAGTGAACAGAAATTGCAACCTTCCACCATTTGTGATGCTCGTAAAACTTAATTTAGGTTTATATATAGAAATTATGGTCACTTTGAGACTTAATGATCCATGAAGGACAAGAACTTATGGCCATTAAAGAAGAGGCTTACTTTTAGTTTCCTCGAGTTCCCGAGCTGGTAAGTTTCTGAATCAGGGACATGTGAGCATTCTGTACATGAAAGCTCTCTACTGTTCTTACAACTATTTTAACAAAGACTGGATATCCCAACCAATCTCACTTTTGAAACCGATAATATAGAAAGCCCTAGCTTTTGAAGATTGTTAAAAAAAATTCATGTCTGGGTCTGCAGAACATTCTATTATCGAGTTCTGACAGCAACACACTACTAAAGATAGCTGATTTTGGCCTTTCGAGGTAAGTTGTCAAAGATTCACGCTAGCACTGTGATGTTGCTGTCCTTGCTGATTTTTTTATTTTTTTTCTGAAGGAGATTTTTATGCTTTATTACTTAAATTTATATGATGCCCTTCCAATTATCATCATGTCAATAAGTAGATGTCATGTTTGTAGTAATCTTCACTATGTTCCTACTGCTCTTAACTTGCAGAGTTTTACACTCAGGGGATCATGCTGAAACTGTTTGTGGCTCACCTTTGTACATGGCCCCTGAAATGTTGGAGTTTCAAAGATATGATGATAAGGTAAGAAATTTCTTTTTTTCATAATTATGAAAGAGCTGCAATGAGTTATGTAAGCAGTGTGTTCTGCTCTAGGTTGACCTATGGAGCATTGGGGCAATCCTTTTTGAACTTTTAAATGGTCATCCACCTTTCCATGGCAGGACTAATGTTCAGGTAATGCTCTTCTTTTTCTTCAATTGTAAGCATGCTGCAATTTATTTTAATTTCTATGTTTGGGGTTTTTTTTCTTCATCTTCAGCTCTTGAAGAACATCAAGACTTCTACAGGCCTTCCATTTCCAGAGCTTTTACGACAAACCATACATCCAGATTGCTTTGATATCTGCTCTGGGCTGCTGTGTGTAAATCCAGGTTGGTATATTAGCCATGTCTAGTAGATGCCTCTCTTCAATTTTCTATTCATATGGTGTGTGTTTATTTGTCTTTTGATTTTTCTCTTTTTTGCAGCTGACAGGTTGTCATTTGAAGAGTTTTACTGCCATAGATTCTTCATGCAAACAAAGGAGAGGCTATGACTATAATCGTGGAGGTATTCTGCACTATCTATCTAAGTGGAGAATTAGGTGACTCCTTGGATTTGAAAACTGAAGATTGAAGAAATGATCTGAAACAGCCTGTCTAGCAGTCTAGGTCTCTAGGACAATTCATTGAAATATATCAGGATAATGAAGTTGTAGATGTGTGTACTTGATGGAACTGAAATATTTCCCTTGGCTGTTTTGCCGATTCTACCAACTGAGGTATGTTGCATGGTTCCCACTTCCCACCAAGGATAGGATATTCATAGGTCCCTAGATGTATGCAATCTAACCTATCGATTGTAAGCCAGCAATCTAGCTATTTTCTGATAGACTGGCATAGAATTCAACTATCTTGATAGGATCTGTGCTTTACAACTCACTCGTCTAAGTACGTTGGTATTATGTTGTATCAATATTCAATCATTTAATGAAGAATTCTTGTTCTTTCTGGCTTCATGTACTTCTTTGTATTAAAATTGGCCCCATAATCAAATGGCCTCAAGGACAAGTTTAGATCTGTTTACCTCATTATGCATAGTCATGAACTTCAATTGAAGTTGTTAGGTTGAATCAATCTTCAATGCTCAAATGGCATCAAGGATTCAAGGATTACATAATAAAAGCTTTCAAACAAGAAATAAAGGTATATTAAGATCTACTTGTTTTAGGTTTGAACCTCCCCTCTTTAATTGTAAACATTGCAATGTTCTTTGCTTATCTCAAAAAGAAATCAAAACTTGATCAAAGTCAAGTTAATTTCAAATATCCAATTATATACCTAACTTGTTCTACACCAACAAATATTAGGATCAGCTGATAAGAGAGTTATTCCAACTTAATCAGAAGTCTCTATCTCTAATTTGAGTCTTAAAAATGCAACAACGTTTGTTGGGAGAGTTTCCCTCATTAAAAATTGCTCCGTAATAGAATTGCTAAAGTATAACAAACCTCGAATCACCCAAAAAAAAAAAAAAATCTATACTCAATAATATCACAAATTAATTTTGACTTGTTAATATGCTCTAGCACCTAAAGCAAAAACAAAAGAATTCCAGAAAACCAAAAAGACCATATAATAGCACTTTAGTATAATGTTCTGATTTCTGATACAAAGATCGAATCTTTTAAAGTTCTCCCATGTAAAATCAATCAGTGGGCGAACAATGGCACCGGCGAAGAAAGGCAAAGCAACCAGCGAGTCAACTCGGCAAATTCAGGCGAGTCAGAATCAACCCAATGAATTTCCGTCTTGTCTAAAATCAATTCCACCTTCTTCCGTTGCCATCACAATCCACGCTAAACCCGGCTCCAAACTCTCCTCCATCACTGGTATTTTTATTCTCTCTCTTCCTACTTCTGATTTTATCCTCAAATTTATTAAATACTGAATTTTTTAATTTATTGCAAAAAAAAAAAAAAAAAAAAAAAAAAAAAAAAAAAAAAAGATGTAGGTGAGGAGGCAGTAGGAGTACAGATTGATGCACCAGCTAGAGATGGTGAAGCTAATGCCGCTTTACTCGATTTCATCAGCTCTGTATGTTTCATCCTTCTATCTTTTTTTTTTTTTTTTTTTTGGGGGTGTAATTTTAATTTTTGTTTTCCAATTCATAATTTTCTAATATGCATGAATTTTTTTTTGAAACACTAATATGCATGAATTCATTTTTATTTGAAGGGTGTTTAATATTCCATTTATTTTTCTGGGTAATTGTCTTTGGTTTAACATACAATTCAATCCCTGTAAAATTTTGTGGTCGAATGTTTTTATTCTTGAAAAAAAAAAATGGACTGGCAAGTATTTTGATTACTGTTGCATCTGAGCTAATTAGGTATATCAAACAAATATATTAGTATCAAGCTCTAGCTTTGTTTGCTATGGATTCCTTGTGGTTTCAACTTTCAATTAATCATGTGTAATGGACTTCTAATCTTAAACTTATTATTGTATTGTTGTTGTTGGACAGTCATGTTGTTATTGGGTTGCTTGACGAAATTAGTTGTTTGGATATTGGTTAGATGATGTGTGTGATAATGCACCATTCAATTTCACTGATCAGTTGATTATGTAGAATGCATTTACATGCCAATTTTCTGTTGCTGCCATTGTAAGCTGGATACCTTGTTAGATAGAGATAACTTAGAGAAATTGTTATTTTCAAAATGTGGGATGATATCATGAGGCGATTGAGGTCTGAAATCTGCTGAAATATCCCCGTCTAAGGATGTATATGTACGTTTCATTGTTTTGGCACATTTATGTGGTTATGGACATTGTTTTCTTGTAAAGAGTCTAGGACCATTGGACCATGTATGCCAACTGCATATGTTCTAGTATTGTATCAATAGAAAATGGCTAGCCTAAAGATATATACTCCGGTCTTTTCACTTGACAAACTCTCTAGACTTATCATCCCTGAACTTTTTTCTCTATTTGAAGTTATTGGCCCTTATTTCTTATGTTTTTAGCTGTGAATCTGACATTTGTATCCCTAAAGATATATACTTCTTCCTCCTGAGATACAAAACTTCTTCCTTTTGAGATGAATCCTGAGATACATTAAAGTTTCATACCTCCGATCTTCAGGAGGAATCATCTCAAAAGGAAGAAGTTTTGTATCTCAAAATTTCATCATAGAGAATGTTGGAGGACCCTAAAATGTATTAATATCCACCCTCTAGGCTAATGCTTTCTTCTTAGTCCATTTCAAAATGCCACTTGGGTTTTCTTTTGAGCGGACAGGTGATGTTGAAATTATTGGAAAGTTTCATAATGTGTAAACTGTGAGTCTGTGAGACATGCAACAGTTATTGAAATTACCTGTGTGCCTTTAAGTAATTGGGAACAACAGCTAACCAGACAGCAAGGGTTGGGTAGTCAATTCAAGCATGCTAAATAACCTCTTCATCTGTCTTGTACAAATAGACCAACTCTGGCCAGATGCCATACATTTTCTAACTCAACACTCCTCTGAGAGATGCTTGAATTCTAACACATTATCTTTATACAGGTTATTGGTGTTAAAAAGAGGCAATGTTATCTATTGGTTCAGGTTCCAAGTCGAGGGACAAAGTGGTGATTGTGGAAGATGTAACTTTGAAAAGTGTGTTTGATGCTTTGAATAAAGATGTGCAATCCTAGCAAAGGATCAAATGGTTGAGATGAACAATATGTGTAACAGAACTTCTTTGAAGTTAGGAGGTGACGTAAATCAAATTTTGCTACCAAGCCTCAGCTTCCTGCAGTTGCTTTTCCGTAAATCAGCCATCAGTTACTTGTAGCAACAAGCTGGTGACTCCCATTACAGTATTTTGTCAAGGTGCATAAGTGCATTGTAAGGGCTGAATATAGGTGCAGAGTGAAGGCTGCTGAGTTTCACTTGCAATATCTTTATCCAAAATTCGTTGGATGATGTTCTTCAGAGTTTTAAGACCACTGTATAATACTTGGTGTTTTTCTTCCCTTGATTTGGTGTATGTTGTGCCTCTAATGATGTGAATAGTGTAGACTTGGGATCATACCTTAATACTTGCTTTTCCAGATCATTCTAACCAACTTAGAGACTTTTTTAAGTTGATGATTATGTTCCAAGCCTAATTGGTTACACATAGAGGTGTAAATGAGCGAATACGTTCGTGAACTACTCGCGAACAAGCTCGGTCAAAGCTTGGTCAAAACTCGTTTGCTAAGCTAACAAACAAGCTTGAACAAAAATCTTAAGCTCGTCAAATAGATGAACAAAGCTCGAACAACATCATGTTCGACTCAATAATGTTCATGAACTGTATGTTCGTTTAAGTCCATTTATAAATTTTTTCACGTCCAGTTAAACTCGGACAATTTATATATTTTATTCATCATGTAAAGGCATGAAAAATCTGTCATTACCTTTTTCTATAAAAAAAAATATAAACATTTTATATAAAATTGTGTTAAAATTCGTAAGAAACCATTTTTTAATGAGAAATTAGGGCTCGTTTATTTAATCAAGCTCGAAAATGAGTACGTTCGTGAACAAAGCTCGAACAAGACAAATTCTTAACAAGCCTAGCTCGAACAAGATTTTTAAAAGCTCGAGATAGTTCGAACCTAAATAATTCTTATAAGCTTAGCTCGAACAGACTAAAACTCGGCTCGGCTCGGATCGTTTGCAGCCCTGGTGAAAGGAATGGTGTCCTTCCAACAAGTGTATTATTCCGATAGAGGGTTCCGAATTATTAGAAAGCTAATTTTCAGTAAGGTCAAGTGATCGGAATGCCTAGGTGGAGGCCGCTTCCGATCAGTAATATTAGTGTACAATTAATATTACAGTTTAATCTTGACTGAACCCTTCGGGTCGAACCCAATCGAACAACCGATCTGAGACGACGAATCAATACAAAGGATGTGATGAGTCATCAGAGTATTACGAACAAAGACATCGGATATCGAGCTTAGAGCGTCGAGATCGAGTGTTGCAAGTCGAGTCGAATTTAAAATTCGACGAGACGTGACATCAAACAAGCAACAAGTTCGAGCCTAGCCGTAGCCTCGCATTGGCCTAGCCATGTGAGTGCTAGGCTAGGCAAGGTCCCAAGCAATGCGTGCCTAGCATCCCCTAGCACACGCACATCGCATGGCACAAGCATCGCAAGATGCGTGCATGCGTGTGGTGTGGCTGTGCATGCGTGGCTAGGCGTGCTAGCATAGCAGCGATGGTTGCACAGCCCACAAGCATCGCAAGCATGGTACGTTCTTGCTAGCATGCTAGGCTAAGCACCTAGCCATCGCTAGCCGCAAGCATCGCACATGCTAGTAGCGTGCTAGGTTGTGCATGCTTGCTAGCCAAGCTGGGCCAGGCGTCGCTGCATGTTGTGCTTGCGTGCCTGCGTAGGTGCACCAAGCAGCAGCACGCTATGCGTGCTATACCTCGCATAGCAGCAGCCCAGCACCTCGCCTGCAGTGCATAGGAGTAGCCCAACATGCGTGGCTTGCTAGCAGCATGTATGCATGGGTGTGCTAGTTGGACAACCCAACCTTGGTGCTAGGCGCCAGCTGGCAACCTTGGCAGCCAAGGCAAGCTGCCAGCCAGCCAAGCGGCGTTGACAGCCGGTCAAGTGGGGACCAATGGTTGGTGTTTGCCTTGGGGAGCAAGGTGGGTTGGTCCCCTCCCTTGGTGGTCCTCACCTTCTCCCTCTCCTCCCATTGCCACTTGTAACTTGTTGATTGAATTGCAATTTTATTTTATTTTGATTAAAATAAAATAGGGAAAATGCAAATCTCCCACATTGATTGAGAATGGGAAATCAAGGTTCATTTCCCTATAAATACCCAAGTTTTGGAATTTGGGAAGAACACTTGAGTGGAACTAAAAAGGCATCTCCTTAGAAAAGTGAGAAAAGCTTAAGTTCGTAAAACTCTAACTTTTATTGGTAAAGTCCCGACTAACCTCCGGGACTAGGACCATTCGGGTCGGGTTCGTGGGTACGAGCCGTTGGAGACCTTCACATTTGCGGGGTTCGGGTTTTTGAAGTAAGAGCTCGGGATCGAGCGAAGCACGCGACAAGGGTATGAATGTCTTTTCCTTCTCTCTCTTAATTGTTGTTTAATATGTGATTGCATGCTTAGTTGCCTTAATTAGTGGGCGGGTTTCTCTTCCGCGTAGAGTCGGACTCTACGAAACCCAACACCTGGTACTTACACATACAACCGCTCTAAAGCTTATTATACTTCATTCCTAGTATAGTGAAGTGTTCCTTTTAAGGGCACGCACCTCCATTTTATTTTAGATAATCCGTTTAACTTTTTGCAATATCTAAATAATCTTATTTATCTCTTCACTTCTCATTCTTAGTATAGTGAAGCGATTTTGATTTTTGCACTATTTTTTATGGGGATGTTTATATGCTATTTTACTTATTGATTGTTAAAGATATGTTTCGTATGTATTATTAAAGTAATGCATTAGCAAATAGCAAGTGTGTACATTAATTAAGCAAGTCACGTAAAGGAAAATTGAGGAAGTATTAACTAAAACAACCCATGCATCAACATTGATAATTGGTGGGATTGGGTTTGATAACACAATGGATTCCCAACATCTTAATAGGATCCTAAAATGCATATTTGGTGATTGGAATCATCCCTTGCATTTCTTAATTGCCACTGCAACGAAATTCAAAAAAAGTTAAACAATTGAACCAAACTCATTTTCGGGACTTTATAGAGACATTGATGGGCTTATTATTTTTCATAACCAACTTTTTTTTAACCTTGGGAGATCCCCCAACATTCGTTCAATTTGGAAAATTTTCTCTAAATTTATCCAAAAGCGTGGATTATAACCTATAATTTTGAACAATTTTGACTTTTACGGGCCTGGATACACAAAGAGGACAAGGTGCTTCTCATAGGCCCCCACTAAGGACTAGGGGTGTTCAAAAAAAACCCGACCCAGTTGTCCCGTCCCGATTACCCAATGACCCGCAAAAAACCCGATGGGAAATTGACAAATTTTTCTGTTTTTTTTCGGGTCGGGTACCCGTCCCGCTAAAATAGCAGTTTCATGGGCCGAGACATGGGACAAAATCTTTGCTAATCTCGGGTACCCGGATACCCGTTAAAAAAAAAAGCAGATCAAGCAATTGAAGATGCAAGAAAATATGTTGAAAATGCCTAACAGAAGCAGAATAAGCTAAATTAGAAGCTGAACAAGCCAAAAAAAGAGGCGGAAAGCTGTTAAGAATGACGTGGACAGAAAAATTGCTGAGAACAATGCAGTTTGGGAGAAGAAGTTTAGGCAACTTCTGGATTTTCTTGGAGCCGGAAGTTCATCGGATACCGATATAACAAAGCTAACAACAAGAAGTCAGCTTGCTTATAGAGAACTTGCTTTACCAAAATACATAACTTGAAAATAAACTAAAAAATAAACAAATAGAAAGCACTGGACATAACAAGCAATTAAGCTATCCTAAGTCCTAATTGATTCTCGCAAATCTTAGCATTGTGATAAATGGAAGATTTATAACTTGAAATAAGATATAAAACAAGTTTTTGGTACAAACTTATTTACAAAAATAAATAAAAAAAATAAAATCCGGGACAGGACACGGGCCGACTTATTAACTACCCGAAGATCTAGGTACCCGGATATGAACACCCCTACTAAGGACACACGACCCCAAGAAGACACTAGATGATTGGAATCATCTACTTTGCTTCTTATTAGTCAATTTAGTTAGTGACATACACGATTCTCTTCATTGACTCTAGATCATCACGAGTCTTTATGTGACCGACTAGTGATCGTATATATATTTTTGAACAACATTATATGACCCTAAGAAGCATAACCGAAGATCATTTGAGCTTAGGACATTAGGTCCAAATCTCCGAAAATATTAAATTTCGTGTACTAGAAACCTTTGCATTTAGGTGCTTCCTAAAGTTCCCAAAGGGCCATCGAATGTTTACTTGGTACTCTAAAACATTTCATTTATGCCTTGGCCTACCCTTCGTAATCATGTTTTAAGATATCTTACCTTGACCTTAACTTAGTTCTTATGTCCTACCTCATTTACTTAAAAATTACTAGTATCTAGTATATGTATGTATTCAATCTAAACTTTTACACAAAGTACATGTAAACAATACTCCTCTCATTTGTTTATTTGTACTAAACACTTTTACCAATCGAAGTATAAGCATAATTTTAATCATGCATACGTAAAAATAAAAAATTAATATACTATATCTATATATAAAGACAATACTATCGAGTATATCGACAGTACTCAAAATATAATCAAAGAAAAGGACGTAAATAATGTAAATTTGCTAGCGCCTAGCACTTAAGTATAATAAAAAAAAAAGGGGCAAAAAAAAAAAAAAACATTTTCGGGAGAGAGCTTACTCGTTAGGGCTTCATTCTTCAAAATTCCAAGTGACAGCCCATTCTTACAAAAATGCAAGAATTTGGCGCGAATTTGAAATTATTTCACACCCAAAATCCCACTCTTTCCCTCCTCTTCTTGTTCACTTCCCATCCCCAAATCAAAATTGCTGAATTCCCAACAAAACCCAGAAAAACCCTAGAAAATTTCTTCAGAAAATTTCCCCCAATTCAATTTCTGAAATGGGGAAGAACGATCCAGAGCTATCATCAGCAAGGAAAGCGTATAGGAGTGCAAAAGGTATAGGGAATCGCAAAGAAGAAGCTAGATGGGCAAATGTAATTGGTGATCTTCACAAAAATAGAGGTGAATATTGTGAAGCCCTAAATTGGTTAAGGATTGATTATGAGATTTCTTCTGCTTTTTTACTTCAAAAAGATCGTCTTCCTTCTTGTCAATCCATGGGTGAACTCTATTTGCGTCTCCATGATTTTGCGAACGCCCTCCGTTATCAGGTATTTTTTTCGGGTTTTCGCGGTTTTGTGTTTAGAAGGGATATAACCCGATTTAGTCGGCTTCCGCATGGTTGATGTTGGTAGTATTATGAAATTTGATTAAGGAAAAAAATAGGATTTTTTGACAATTCTCATTTCATTTTATTTTTGTTGTACATGTGAATTTAGGGGGTTTAAGTTCATAGAATTGATTAAATTTAGAATAACATTTTCTTATGCTTTTGTTTTAATTTTAATTGATTCATAAATTAGGGTTTTTATTTTGGATATGTTATTTTCCTGCTTTTAAGTTTTTTTTCTTCATATTAATAATAAATTTGATTTATGCAACAATAGCTCTTTGTTCTTAGCAAAGGTAGTTTCTTTCAATGGTAATCTTATTTGGGTTACTGGCATTCTATAATTATATTCTTGTTCATTGAATTTTGGTTGTGTAATGTTAATATTACTAATATATTATCTAACTAAGATGTCGATTAGTGAGTTATAGGAGAATTTTATGACATTGGAAGATGTAAGCTTTTGCTAAATGAAAGTATTATTCAAACAAGGGCGTAGTAAGTACTGGATTTGATTTATTCTTTTATTGTTGATTGGACTAGAATTAGCTTGGAAGATACTATGAACTACCAAAGTATCTTTTGCTAATACTTGATTAATTGATTCTGTTTTCTGTTATAATGTAGAAAGAGCATTTAGAGCTAGCCAAGGATGAAGAAGATCTGGTTGAGCAGCAAAGAGCTAACACACAACTCGGACGTACATACCAAGAAATGTTTACGAAATATGAAGATCATTCTGCTCTTCATAAGGCTAAAAAGTTTTTCAAATCCTCTATGATTCTTGCTAAAACTCTCAAGGAAAATCCTCCAGACTCTAAATCCTCTTTTCTTAAGGAATATATTGATGCATATAATAATGTCGGAATGCTTGAAATGGAGCTTGATAACTTGGAAGAGGCTGAAAAAATTCTTACCAAAGGATTGGAGATCTGTGATGAGGAGGAGGTGAATGAAAATGACGAGGGGCGCACCAGGTTACATCATAATCTTGGATTTGTCTATATGCAGCTAAGAAAGTGGAACAAGGCTCGAGAACATATCAGGAAGGATATAATGATATGTAAAAATATTGGCCATCGCCAAGGAGAGTCTAAAGGCTATATTAACCTTGGGGAACTATTTTGCAAGGTTCAGAAGTTTGACCAGACCTTGCGATGTTACCAAATGGCTCTCAAACTGGCAAAATCTTTGGAAGATGAATTTGCTTTGGCACGTCAAATTGAGGAAAACATTCGAATTGTGAAGGAATATATTAAAGTGATGGAGGATATAAAAACAGAAGAGCAAAATTTTAAGAAGCTTAGACGTAGCCTGAACACGGCCAAAGGCACTTCAAGTGAAAGAAAGTGTTTAAGGCAGCTAATGAAGTCTCTTGATCTTCTTATTGATAAAGCCACTGTTGTTTCTGCTTGGGAAAAAGTAAGTATCTAGTGTAAGATTCTTCCATTGTACTTAATCCCTGAAGAACATACTGCAATTAGTTGATGTATATGAAAATTTACTGTTTCTGCTCTGAAGATTGTCTCTTTTCTTCTTGATAATGGCCTATAGGGTTTATAACTAAAAAGTGGGGGATTTATTTCACCCGTATATTCCAAGAGCCACAATCATACGTCTCAAGCAAGTTTCGGGCTGTTGAGTAGATTGAGGGAGTTTGCTTTGGATTTTGTTTTCAAATCATTTTTGATGGCATTAAAAACTATATTAATGCATAGAAAGGGCAAATTATCAAAAATTATTGCTCAAAGAAAACAAAAAAATGGAAAATGACATGTCCTGCTATTCTTAACTGTAAGGTAGATTTCCTTGGAAGCTCCCGTAGGCTATAGCACAAACCAATAGGTAAGTTTAGTTACTGTCCTCTACTGTTAAAGATAAAGTTCTTAGAGACCACCTGAGAGCATTCTAAATTACCTCTATTGTAGCATAGACCACAAGAAAGCAAAAAGGCATCATGTAGCTTGTAGGTGTGCTTTTGACTTCCAAGAAGTGAAGAATATGTTTGGTGTTACTGTGATAACAGAATTGTATCTTTTTGTGTACTTTTGTTCACTTTGCTTACTTACTATATTTGTCTTAGTGTCCTGCCCTTTCCTCCAGTTCTCCTCTGGAGTTCTTTGTTTTGATCCACAGATGGTTCTTAAAATTTACCATTGTATAAAATGGGGCACTTAGGTGCTGAAGGCAACATGGGTCATACGCCTTTTTGGTCTTGGTGAGGGTGTGAGGTGTTTTCAGTGAAGCACATACACTACTTTTTTCCAGATTATTTTCTCACTTATATCAAGCGTGCCTCACTTGTGCTCCTTGAGCCATTTTATACATTACTTTTTATTAAACACAGAAGTGATGGAACAATTAGTTGCATCTTTCTTCTCTCTGCTATTTTTTCTTCATGCAAATGGAGCTTTAGATTATGCTGTTTGTTTCTAACTTAACTGCTTGATCTTAAACCTCTGGCTGGAAAAAAAATCTAATGCAGGTCAGCAGGTTACATATCATTTTCTTACATCTGTGCTCAACTAGTATACACATTTGAACATGAACTTGTGCTGGAGTTGGACTTGAAAATCACATTTCTAAACTTGGCACTTTCTTCTAAGGATTCCTGAAACACGCATAAATAAAAAGCCAATACTGTTTTTACTCATTAGGGTTGTGGAAGCTACAAATACTATTAAGCTTTTTTTATGTCTAAAAAAATATATATTTATGTTATCTAACTTTGGTTTATTGTCTTCTAGCATCGAGAATTTGCAAAAAAGAAGAAAAAAATTGCAAGCGAACTAAGTGACAAAGAAAAGTTGGCTGATTCATATTTGGTTGTTGGAGAGTCATACGAAAAGCTTAGGAATTTCCAGAAAGCTCGTAAATGGTATACCAAAAGTTGGGGTATTTATAAAGTGATTGGTAATCTGGAGGTTAGTTTTAATATTTTTTTTACAAGTTGTTTCAGCTGTCCATTTGCTCAACATGTCAGAGGTACGAGTTTGCTTTAACCTTCTCTCACAAATTCACAATGGTGATTTCAGGGCCAAGCAATAGTAAAAATCAATTTGGGTGATGTTTTAGATTCTGAAGGTGATTGGCAGGGTGCCTTAATGGAATTTCAAGAAGGTCATAGGTATAACACTTGATCTCTATTCTCATTCGGAAAGGTGCTGTCAGACCTGATATTTCTTGCTGTAGATCATTTTACTTAAGCAGAGACTAATTTCTAATAAGGTGGAAATCCATACATAAAGAATTCACATGTGACTTTTTTGAACAAAATTTATTTTTCTGATGTGTTACATATAGATTTATCTTGTTTGTTTGTTTGTTGTGGATGACAACAATAACAACAGCAGCAGTACTGAAGCCTTATTCCCAATGATGGGGTTGGCTACATGGACCAAAATTTTATCTTCTATGGTCGTCAACCATGTTCCTGACCCTCTATTCTCTTCTATCAAGTACTATATATTTATGTGCACTTATGCGATATGTCCAAACTCTTTATTTCATACTTATCTCCTTCCATCTAAGTCATCTTCGGTCTCCGTTGGCCTCTTCTAAGATCCTCATGACCTTAACTCTCTACTCTCCTTACTGATGCATCTTATGATCACTCACATGCCTAAACCAATGTAACCGTTTTCCCCTTATTTTATCCTTAGTTTTTTTTAACCCCAACTTTTCTCCTAATGCCTTCATTCCTAATTCTAACATATGCATCTCTGATACTCCCATCTTCCTAATATGATCTTTCTTAAAAGCCCAACATTTTGATCTATATGACAATGCTGGTCTGATAATCGCCAAATAGAGTTGTCCCCTTTAACGTCAAAGGTATGCTTCGGTTACACAATACCCCATTTGCTGCACTCCATTTTAGTCATCTGGACTTAACCCCGTGGGTCACATTTTGGTCAATTTCTTTATTCCTCTGAAGACTTGACCCAAGGCACTTAAAATACTCACTCTTGGGCAACTAATCTCCATTCCTATGAAGAATCATGCCAAGGAACTTAAAACACTCAAATGTGGGAACCTCCTTACCGTATATGGATGTAAAATTTGAAGATATATATATCCAGGCTTGCATGTTCATATCTTTCATGTTTTCCAAACAATATACTACCTCCGATTATTTTATCTGCAACTTTGGAATTTTTTATGTCTCACAAAGAATACTTCAAAGTTGCACATAAAAAAATCGGAGGTAGTATATTAGGTTGGGTGTTGGAGCTTGATTTCACGCACCTTGCCTAGTCTTTCCTAGTTTTTCATTCTATACATTTTAGACTCATGATTACATGATTAAATCATATCAAATTATCAACTTTGGCTACATTAGTTGCTACTAAAATATTAGGAAAACTATTTGCGTAGACCTTTTGCTTATTGAATATTGGTTAGTTGAATGTGATAATAAATATCATATTGGGTCTTCAAATACAAACACAATGATTATTTTTGAGTATCTATATGCTTATTATCTATATTTTGTTGCAGGATTGCAGCTCAAGCAAAGAAAATTCCTACGCAGATTTCTGCCTTGGAAAACATGCATTACAGCCACATGATTAGATTTGATAATGTTGATGAAGCTAGGTATTGCTGTTCATCATGCATGACCATCAATAAAAACAAGTTTCATTTGAATATTATGTCTTTTTTCTCCAGTGGATTCTCTATTATCTAGTCTAGAGAAGTGCTTCAGGTTTACTTAACTACTTTGGGTAGAAGATTTTTCTGCTTATATGCTACTCTTTGTATGAGATAAAACAAACCTGGATGTTTAATTATTCTCAGCCTTTATAGTTAGAGGGTGTGGAATGGTTATGTCTTGATGTTAAATGACTGGAGCTCATCCTTTTACTGTTTGTTTGAGCTTTTGCAGCTAAAGTTCGGGATGTTAAATATTACTCAGCTGCTGCAAATTGCTAAGCCTGTAACGCTCGTCTCGTACTACTAACCCTTTTGATTGATGGATTTGTGTGAGAAAGGATATGAATCCTATTACTAACAAAAGGCAGAGAGAATTAATAATGATAAATAATAATGGCTTATTTGATTTTCTGGCCAAGGGCAATTTATCTGTTTTGCAGACTTCTCTCTCTCAAACCATACACTGCAAAAGAAAACCGCTTCCCTTTTTTATATTTCCTTTCACCTTTCCCACTTATTTCCTCGAATGAATTTGAGTAAAGAATGAAGTTTCTCTAAGGAACTGATGGAGGAAAGGAGAGAGTATTTTGAAACAAAAATTCCTTCAATAGTTATTAAAAAGTTCATATAGCTGACAAGATAAAAACGCTTATGATTGAGCTGACTTACCATCCACAATTTTCTTAGAGCCATTGGAGGGTGATGATGTGGAGCAGCTAATGTTGATAAATGACCTTTTCTAGATGATGCTTTTCTTAGTCCTTAATTAAAGTTTGGGTTATGTATAGAGTGTGGAAAAACTTATTTCTGTAAGTGACATTGTGCTTTGTAGGAAGTTGAAGCTTGAGATAGAGAGCTTGCAGGCATTATTAAACAGTGAGCAAGAGCCACCTAATGCATTGGAAAATAGCTGCTCTGAAACAGAAACTGAGGGAAATGATAGTCTCTCTGAGGACAGGTTTGTTGACTGTGGATCATCTCATGGAAGTGAACCCCTTCCCGTGGGTAAATCTATTTCAAGCCTTGAAGACCTTGAAGATGATGAAGTTTTGAGTTCACTTTCCCGCTGTAAAAAGTTGCAGAAGCTTGAAACAAGCAACGACAATGGGGCTAAAAGAGTTTCTGGGACTGCTGAAGCATCTCCCAAAAACTTACCTGATTCACTAAGAAGTCCGTTGACCACTATTGGCCGAAAGCGTGCTCGTCTAGTCATTTCTGATGATGAAGAGGATGCACAATGCTCAAACAGAAGCCTGGATGCTACTCAAGAGGATATTGCTACATCAAATGAATGTGGGTACTTAAGTATTTGTGCTTTCTGTTACTTTCATGATACTGAGCACTAATCATGTTTCTTAACTACTTACAGTAAAGAGTAGAAGCAATCATCTTGATTCAGCCCGTGACCAACAGGTAACTTTGATAAAAAAAAAATAATAAAAAAAATTATATCATGCATCTATTATAACAGTAAGAGCCACAGACTAAATATTATTCTCTGTTCATCTATCCAATTTTTAACAGGATCTTGTATTGGATGGCTGTAAACAGGACACCAGTTCTTGTAATCTTGTGAACCATGAAGAAAGTTCGTGTTCATATAAATCTAGCAAACCTGAAGAAGCTGCTCACGGGAATCTCAAGTCTCTAGCTGACAATAAGGTATTTAGGGCACTCGTCTTAAATACACGTGTTACTGATGTGTTGAGAAGTTTTAATTTTCATCTTTGATTAGCCTAAAATCCTAAAAACTAGTTGCATAGGTATCTGATCAGCCATGCATATATATATATATATATATATATATATATATATATATATATATATATATATATATATATATATATATATATATTAGCTGTAGACATTTGTAGCTCCTACCCTGATACCACCAATAAGGCAGGAATAATTATGAAACGGATCAAGTCAGTTAATGAGATTTCAAATTGAGCATGCATGTTGTAGCTATTAGTGTAGATCAGTGAACATTCTTGCATGTATATATGTGTATATGTTAAACTTTCCTCTACCTTTTTGTTTCTGTCAGTACGGCATTAGAATAAAATTTGAAGATGCCTCAGTGTGCATTGAAGCAGAGCCAAGTGTGTTTGCTGGTGAATTTGATATTGAAGCCTTGAAGTTGCAAGCAGCCTGTTCTTATTACTTGCAGTTATCTTCACAAAGGAGGTCCAGTGGTAAGAAAACCTTGATTTATTCTTGCAATACCATGATGATTATAGCACCCAAGAAATTTAGGATTTAAAACTTTATGACTCTATAGAGTTCATTGTTAGTCAAATAGAATTTGTCCGTGAACGTTTATCGGTAATTATATTCAGCTCGTTTCCACTACCTATGAATCTTTGGGGTAGGTTCTGAAACCTCATGCTGTGATAAAGAGGCCAGAATTTAATGTGTACTTTGCACATTATATATATTTATAGTGTTTGATACTGAAGAACTTTGATCAAACTTAACCATACAACCACTTTTTGAATCTCTCTTTATCTTAATAAACAACTCTTATTGCTTGTTTGGCTTAACTTTAATAGGAGGTTAGAAAGAGCCTTTTTGAGTACTTGTTTGATTGCCATAGTTAGGTAGAATAGGGATCTAAAACTTCAGTGAAAAGTGGAACTTCCCACAAGACATGACAAAAGTACATAACCATTGGGGTAAGTTGCACTTCTACATGAATTCCTTGAAAGTGCAAATTCCCTAGTGTCAACTATATATGTGAATGCTATTTCTTTGGATATGGGAAATAATTTCTGGGAAGTGCAGCCTCATGCACAAATTGATTCCTATATGGCTAAATAAACTAAAGTGTACAGAAAATATAGCCATATAGGGATATCAAACTATAGCATGACACACTTTCACATGCCTTTTATTATAAATTAGAGAATTCATAGGTCTTGCAGTGATCCATCTTTAACTTGACAATATGAAGATGGCTGTTTCAGTAACACATTTATGCTGTCAAACAGGTCTGTTGCCAATCATTGACAATTTGAAATTTGGGGAGCAGATTCTTGCTACTGATCACACAATGGATACTCTTTTGATTGAAGCTCAAGCAGGAGGTTCAATAGAAGCTTCCATTAATGGTATGCTCTTATAGATGATCTTCATGAATGCTCATCTTGTTTTTTTTTTTTTACTATTAATTAGCATGACACCTTAGCTTGATATATGTGCTGATTTTATTCTTTGCTTACTACATGGCTTGTGTAATTGTATTTTTCAATTTTGAGGTGTACTGTGTTCTCTGATGCAGTATTCTAAGAGGTTTTGCCTTTCCTCTTTCCTTTTATAATACAGAATAGTAACTGAGATTTTTATTGCATGAATGAAGCATATTGATGACATATACTATACTGTGTTTTACACATTTACTACCCGACTTTGCTTTGAAGAAATATACACGAGTGACAGAGAAAATGAATAAAAGGGACATTCTTTTATCTCTATTTGAGTACTAGCTAACCAATATTGTTGAAAAGTAGTTCATTATATTTCTACCATACTGTGAAAGTTCTTTATTGTTCTTCCAATTCTACTCTTAATATACAAAATGTCCTACTACTCAACTGATCACTCCTACTCTCCTAAGCTGCTTAATCTTTAGTCTCTTTTGCACAGTACAATAATCCTTGCACATATTTAATGCTATTATGATAATTGGGGGATCTACCAGCTAAACACTTGTGAACTAAAAATTGACAGGATGGGTGCAGAAGAGATTGATAAAAATGTATGTTGACTGTTGTCAGAGATTAGCTGAGCCACCTAATATGAAGCTGCTAATGAAGCTGTATAATTTGAAGGTGAGGACGTACTGAGCTGTTAGAAGTGAACTACCTTATCCCCTTTCTTATTCGTTGTCTATATACTGTAAGGGGTAAAACATGAGCTCTCATTTGTTTTATTCTGTTATTTGCTTGTGTTGTTGCAGATTTCTGAGGATGAAGTCATAGTGTCTGATTGTGAGCTTCAAGATATGTCAGTAGTTCCTCTACTGGATGCTTTGAGTGCCCACAAGACTATTTCCATGTTGAATCTTTCTCATAATATGTTAGGTAACCACGTTGATACTCCTGCCTATTCCAAATTTTTATTCACTGACACTTGCCAATTATGTTACTCTATGCCTGTAAAATGTCTCTCTCCCTTACCGAATTAAAGAGTGGTTAGATTTATGCAACCTTATACTTGTAATAATATAGAGCACATTCTAATTAGTTCTTGATCTGATACTCTACAACTGTTAGCTACTGCACAACAAATAAAAGTGTACACGTTATCATGAGCCACTTCAATTAAGTTCGTTATCATTCAAAGTTACGAAAGTCAAAAACGCAAGGCAATAATAATGGAACTTTGGAAGTGAGACTGGATGGTTGAAGAAAATGTGAGTCACAAGACCCACAACTCACAAATTTCAAAATTAATATATTTGGGCAGAGATTTTTAATCTCTAAAATTTGCTGGTCAGATCTCAAGTTGATTGTTGTAGGCCTGGTAGCTTTTTTAGCATTTAATCTGTTTTCTGCCTTCAGGGAATGCAACAATGGAGAGACTAAAGCAAGCATTGACATCATCAGGTCAAAAGTATGGGGCCTTGGTGTTGGATCTGCACTGCAATTTGTTTGGGCCAACTGCTTTATTTCAGGTAGAGTATTTTCCTTTTATAGATTTCGTTTAGTAGTTTTCTGCAATTAGAAATGAGGTATAGTCGTAGACCTTTATTTCATTTTGGAAGACAAAAGGAAGTTTCTATACTGTCAGTAATCAAGTTGCCATAAGAGAACAGTTTGTTGTGACGTGAGAAGATTAGAGGAGCCTTCTGGGCAATGATGTTGCATCACTTTGCCCAATGTCTTTAGTCTACATTTGATTTTTTTTTTTTTTTAAAAAAAAAAAAATTTAATTCTCTTGTGTGTTTTCAGATTTGTGAGTGCCCCGTGCTCTTTAGTCGATTAGAAGTTCTTAACATCTCAGGAAACCGTCTGACTGATGCCTGTGGAACTTACCTGTCCACCATATTGAATAATTGCAAAGGTCAAACTTTTTTTCTTCTTTTATATGTTCTGATTTTGTTTTAGTAACTTCATAAATTAATAATAAATATGACATGGAAGGTTAGTAGTTGATCTCTTCTGCTTTTGCTTGGCTGTTGTAACTCTGCAGACGTTTTTAGGATTTGGAGACTATATCTTCGTCTAATACTCAAATCAGTTCTCTTTGGTTTTCTATTGCAGGTCTTTATAGTCTGAATATGGAACGATGTTCTATCACATCCAGAACAATTCAAACAGTTTCTGATGCGTTGGATTCTGGTTCTGTACTGTCACAGCTTTTAGTTGGTAATGACTTGGTCAAGGTGTAATGTTTAATACTTTTTCATCCTTTAATTGAACTTCTGACTTAGTTTCCTTTTTTGGCAGGACATAACAACCCTATATCCGGTAACTCTTTATCCAACCTACTAGGGAAACTTGCAAAGCTTGAAAGGTGAAGTTTCATTCTTATTTGCGATTGTCATTTTGAATTCTTAACTGAGATTGAAGTAAATTAATCTGTGTAGATATTTACAGGTTTTCAGAACTGAGTCTGGATGGCATAAAACTTAACAAACATGCATCTGACAGCGTTTGTCAACTTGCTAGATCTTCATGCCTATCAGGTCTCATGCTTGGTGCAACAAATATTGGTTCGGTGAGTGATTATATCTTCAAATTTGATCATGTTATATTGGTATTGCCATTGATCTCCTCACACCATGCCTTGGCTGTTGATAACTTGCAGGATGGAGCTTTAAAGCTGACCGAATCTTTGTTCCATGAGACCCAAGAGCTGGCAAAGTTGAACCTATCATATTGTGGCCTTAGACTGAATTTTGTTGAAAGACTAAAGATAGTTCCTGCAGTATTGAATATACTGGAGTTGAACCTTGCTGGAAATCCCATTACGTCAGAGGTTTGCTTCAAGTCAACATTAAGTCAAGTCAATACATAAATGTAGTCCATATATCTGTTAACTGTAGGCCTTCAGTCTATAAACAAGAATTGATCAACTTCTGGATTGTTTTAATGGATACAACAGCAATAAGTGAAGTATAAATTCTATTGAGAGTTGAGACTAGGTATTAGGGAGTTTCAAATACATGCAGCACTACTCTAACTAGCTAAGGGTTACTACAGACTTTTAAATGGTATATGCTGATTAAATATCAGTTTGGTCCTTAAATGGATATTGGACTCACTTTTTCTAATTTTGGGAGGGTGTAAGTCTTACTGGCGTAACTCAAACATATGTACATTACATTCTCTTGGGATTGAAGGTTCTAGGAACCAACTTTGGGCTTCTAATTGGGTTTAAAATTAGAAATAAAAATAGAGTGGTATGTGTTTGGAACTTGATTCTTGATACATGTATGTGTATTTGCTCTGTTTGGGAATGAACTTTTCTGTTTTATTTGATACCTGAAGGCTCAAAAGAAGTATAGAGGGAGAAATCAGAAAGGTGGGGGAAAAAATCCTTAGGTTCAAGAGATAGAGAGATCCCTGTTCTGTATTTTGTTACTGGTGCAGCCAGCCTACCAGTAGATGCATTTGCTGACTAGGTCATAAAAAAAGCACAAACTCATTAAGAGTTTTTACTGCAGGCTGGAAATGCATTGGCGTCAATACTTGCGAATTCAGAATGCAGTCTGAAGCTTTTGCTGCTTAACAAGTGTCACCTTGGTCTCACTGGGGTTATCAAAATCATGAATTCACTTGCTGGTTAGAGTTACTAAACTTGCCCTTTTTTCATCAAATTCTATATCCATTAACAAACTGATGCTTGACTTATTGTTTGATGTCTTAAAGAGAATGAGTCTCTCGAGGAACTCAATCTTGCTGGCAACATTGAGCAAGAACAACTTCAACATATTGGAAATGATATTACAGGCAATAAGAATTCAGAAACATTAGGCTCTAAAAAAATATTTCAAGATCCTGCAGGTGAGCAACATGAAGAAGACACATTTAATCAGCTAGTCGTAGCTGATAGCTACGAGTATGATTCAAGGGCTGAAGATTCAGATGCACTACTTGCTGATACCTGCAATAGTCAAGACAATCAAAGGATTAAGGAATTATCAGCTGCCATAAGCAATGCAAAACATTTGGAGTTACTTGACCTCAGCAACAATGGCTTCACAACTCAAGTAGCTGACACCTTCTACACTGCTTGGTGCTCTTCTACTAGAGCCGGTGTACCTCGCAGGCATGTAAATGATCAGTTACTTCACTTGTCTACACAGGACAAGATTTGTTGTGGCCTAAAACCTTGCTGTTGAAAGAACTGATACTGCATCACATCATTCATTCACCTGAAATTTTTATGTTTGAATTTGTATATTTTTATAATCTGCACCTGGTAGGATTAATATTTATATAAGACTTAACATTCTTTAGGACATTAGGATTTAGGAGCCCTTTGCAATGCTGTATATAATACAAGTATATGTTCAGTGAAGATTGAAAACTGAATTCAGTGAAGCATTAGTATAGTAAATTGCTTGATTAGTCTTCACATTATTGTTTTTTTGTTTCTGAAGGCCCAGTCTTAGATGTCAATAGTCGATACCATATACAGCCAATACAGGGACCTACTTGTTTAATTAGCACAACAGATTTAATAAGTAGATTTTTTTTTTTTTTTTTTTTTTTTTTTTGAGAGGTAGAAAAGTTATCTTAATTTAAGCATTACTCCGTGTTATTTTACACCTCTATAGTCAGTCTATAGTATTGAGTATAAAAGGAATGTTTTGTATCTTTATTTTAATATTTTGTACCATTTTGGGTATGAGTGGTAATTATATGTGATCAATGGATAAATCAAGGCCTTTATTCATTTTGGTTAATATGATCATGATAAGCAATTATAAAAAAAATCAACTAAAGTATCATGACTTGTTGCCAATATTCTATCAAAACTCAAAAGGTTTTGTATAAATGTCAAATTATATTACATTAGTGTGTTCTATTCTTTTTTTTTTTTGGAAATAAGTGTGTTCTATTCTCGTGATATTTACTCAGCTTAACTTTTCTAAATTTATCTGATCTTACTTGAAATGATTAATTGAACTATATTATTTGTAAATTGAACTCGGTTAACTCTTATTAATTCTTGTTAAATCTTATCAGGGTTTAAAATTGTTGCTTTGTGAGATTTTTGAGTGATTTAAAATGATCAAATTCAATGTAAAGATGCATGTATTAGTCTTTTTAAACTAATAGCTCCTGTTAACAACTACTAGCTGATGCAAATTTCTTTGTGTATGCATCAAAGATAAAAATAAATAAATAAAATAAAATTTTATCTTATACAAAAGAGGAAAAACTATGATTTACCATAATCATGCTCGAATTTCATTATAATTATGGCAAAACTAAAGTACCTTTTACCATTGACATTTAAGGGTGTCCTCCATTTGCGCAGTGAATGAGCTGAATCCTAAATTTCATAATTAAATTGGATAATCCATTATTTTCTATGATTTTCCTAGAAAAAAATACGTGAAAACATTATGTATGTGATTATGACAAGCAGTAACATAATTTCAAATATTATGGCCTTATATATTACAATCATACTAAATAAATAAGTAGCAAGTTTAATTATAATCACATCTTTTTGATGATATATATAATTAAAGAGAAAACATAGCTCATGGCCTCATCTTATGTCAATCAATTTTGATTAAACATTTGATGGGCCATATATTCTCATTGTCACATATTTCTCATCATTACTTCTCCAGCTGAATAATTAATAATTAAAGCAATTTATTTTTACAAAAATATTAATTATTAAAGTAGTATTTAAAATAAATTAATAATTAAAGCCTTCTTTTGATTATTTTACTTTGAGCATAAAAGATGGAGCTTATCGTTTCTGTTTCTTGTAACTTTTTAAAAACATCAATAAATAATTAAAGCAATTTGAAATAATTAATAGCATTTTACATGATGAATCAATGGAAATTTCAAGAACTTTAGAGTTTATAAAATAATAATTTGAGTCACATGATGGTAAAAGTTACTGTAATTTATTAAGAAGCATAATATTTTAGTGCATGTGGTTTTTCAGTGTATGTGATATTTGAAAAAGTCAATTTCTAGGAAACTATTACGATTAGATTATTACGGAGTAATTTGGAAGCTAATAAAGTTTTTTTTTTTTTTTTTTTTTTTTTTTTTACAGCAGACAACCAAGGAAGCCCTTTTTCAACATTTAATCCAAACTGAAAATTCTCCACTGAGAATAAAAAAAGGCTATAGAAAAATAATTTTAGGCTTTGAATGAGTTATAATCTAAGTTACATGTGACTCTTGTGTCTGATTTTTGACTAACATCAAGATTGAATGCCTAGTGCTCTAGGTTTCTTTGAGGGTCCATTAGGTATGGTAGGTTACTTAATATATGACATTTTTATTTTTACTTACATTTATTCATTCATTCATTCTTGTTTAAACTAAAAAGCCTTCCTATGAGTATATAGTATATGGAGTACTTATAAAATAATTTTACTTAAATACGATACATAATTTTATTCAATTTTGACTATGTAACACTACAAACAGAGTATTAATTTTCCAAAGTGTTCATATCATAATCAGAACCTGTATAACACAAGTAAATACATGGTAAATTAATACTGATAGGTTGTGATTTAAATAAATAATTTTTCTAAATTTCTCGAATATATGTGTAGAAGGGGGTGAAAATATTTTTTCTTAATTTAAATAAGTTTAGTCATCTGATTAAAAGGGGAAAAAACATTCATTTTACTTCATATAAGAAAGGAATGTCACATTTTTTCTCCTTCGCCTCATTTTAAAATTTAATTCCTTAGAACCAGCCTTAATTATTGTTGAAAATACTAATACATCATCCAATCAAGCTTAGCTTATCCAAATTAGAACATGCATGTGGAAATGATATCATTGCATACCTACCTAGCTAATTACTCTAACATTATTTGTCACTCGTATGTATATTTCAGTGATGTTATTCTTATTTGGCCGTGTATTGTATTAATAATTTATACTTCATGATTTTGTAGCATATATTTATTCATTAAGTTGTACTCCACATAATTTTTTCATAATAATATTATATTATAGACATAAATTTGGCATACACCTAATGATAAAGAAAATGGCAGACAAACTGGTGGACATACATGACCCATGAAAATATATTTCATTTCACTAATTTCCATCAATTGGGGTGCGTATCATTGTACTCGATCGCTCTTTTTCTTATCTACTTATACAAGCAAGCTACAGTTTACTGAGACTTCGATCTGATAAGACACTTTCTCTTGTCCTCCAAAATATATTAAGAAAATAACATAATTTAATTTTAATTTTATTCATTCCCTTATCTTTAAACATGGCATACAAAATTGTGCAGAATTTTAAATACATGCAATTTGTCTCCTATATGTTTTATTCTTAATTAAAGTTCTCACATATATTTTAAAAATTAAAATAAATCTAATCAAAAATTATATTTACCGTCAATGAGACTATATTAACTCCGAACAATATATGACTGAAGTAAGGAATTTTATACAGAGTATACAAAAAGATAATTGCGAATGAAAATAAACTACACTGCATTCAATGTATAGAGAAATTAAAAACACCAAAAAAAAAATACAGAGAAATTAAAAGATATACAAGTAAACTATTGAGCAAACCAAAGCTTGAAGCAAAAACCATATAATATACTCCATTCATATAATACTATATACTAAGTTGCTCATAACATTAAATTAACCATGAGCTCAAAAATGTACAATAATCTAACAAGTAGTAGAAATTAAATTAAAATACAACAATGTACCCACCAAAAGTTGTTGTGTCAACTATTTTTAGTAAATAAAAAACCTCCCAAAAAAACATGCATGTCAGCTTCATAATATATATGATCATAATCCTTCTAAATAATTAATAAAAAGAAAAGAAAAGGAAAATTTTATGGAGATCTCCAACTTTGCAAACCAAGATCATTGTGTTTTCTTGAAGGAGCAGAAGAAGGAATAGGAAATCTCTTAGGAAAGAACCCTAAAAAATGACCCGAATTCGAGTATTTGGGTCTTGATGGGTTGAATCTAAACTCGTTTGTAGTTCTCAACCCTTCACACAAGTTAATGCTAATGATGAACATAATTAGCAACATAATGTGCACCCAAAACTTGTTGATTAGTGATGATAATCTTCGTCTACTTCTCATGGTATTGATTGGCTTTCGATAACGATAACGATAACGACAACGACAACGACGATTTCTCTTGTGATTAGCACTTGTTAAGAGAAGAGTAGTGACAATTCAATGATGATGAAGTTGTTTGAAGAGAATGATGAAGGGTTGTAGGAATGAAGCTTAGCTAAGGTTAAGATGAAGAAATGGTGTTGGTTTGAAAAAGAGGGTTGTTTTGTTGGTTTGAAATAGTCAATTTGGGGTTATAAGAGGGTGACAAAAGCAAAGAAAAGAGAGAGGGAATTGAAGAAAGGGAAGGAGCAAGTGGGATGAAGAGAATGTGTAAAGAACAAAGTAAAGTGATGAGGTAAAAGGAGTTGGAAAAGGTCAAGGTTTTTTTTTTGTTTTTTTTTTTTTTAAATGTTTTTGAAAAAAGAAAAAAAACTTTTAGGGTGATGGTAATGTGGTATGGTGGTTAGGTAATTTGAGTGAAGAGGGTCCCACTGTTGAATTTTATTTCTTTGGGATAAACCAAGGTTGAAACTTTGAAAAGAATTGTACTCCTAGGTAAAAATTAAATGGCTTGTCAAAAAAAAAAAAAAAAAAATAAATGGATGAAATACTTGTAATATATATACTCCTAGAAATTAGTGTGCATGTTTAATTTGAGGTAAATAAGATGTGATAATATTAAAGTAATTGAGTAAAATAAAATGTCTTTTGCTTAACCTTTAGTATATTTGTGTGATTGAGAAAAATTACTTGATTGACAAAATTATTTTGATGAGGCCATTTTAAGTAAGACACTATGACCTACTAACTAAGGCCTTGTTTAGTTCAACTTATTTATATTTATTTTAGAAAAAAAAAAGTTCAGACCAAAAAAAAAGTTCAAATCAAATCATCGTTTTATGTGCAATATTTTATCGCTAAATATCTTTAATTTCGTAATGAAAAAATTATGAAAATTACATATTAATAGAATGCACATTATTACGAATCTAACAAGATCCCACTTGATATAATTTTTTCATTACAGATTATCGTACACTTAAGGTCAAAGTTTGGTCAAATCAGACAATAAGATCAGATCCGATCAGACCAGATAAGATAAGATAACATAGGATTAGATCAGATCAGATAAGTTCAGATAAGCAAAAATAAGGTGAATTGAACAAGGTCTTACAATATAATGTGATTGGCTAATTTTGTTTGTATAATTTATTAAGACTATATAATGAAGTACAAAGATTGAGGTAATTAAAACTAGTAAATAAGTCATGTA